GAGAGCAACAAGGCCATACTTAAAGCTTGAAGCATCTCCACAATGGAGTAGGGGATCTTGCTGATGAGGACAAGAGATTTATTACTACTGACTGAGGTGGCTGAGAACAGTGTGTCACACTCTTTGCTTCAGGGAGGGACAACTGTATATTTTTGGCCATCTGTTATAGATGCTCTTTAGCTGAGATCCCTGCATTGCAGGGGGTTGGACCACATTACCCTCAAGCTCCCTTCTAACTCTACAATTTTATCAGATGGTGGTGACTGTAACCAGGAATATATTGGGGTCATGCTGGGAAAACATTGACTCTGCCAGCCTTCTCCAATTTGGTTCCCTCCAGATGTTTAGGACTTCAACTCCCATTAGCCTCCCATTTGGAGAGTATCAGTTTGGGGGAAGGCTGAAGACTCTTGGGACACTGACTGGACAGCCTTCATATATTTATTAGCACTACAGATGATTCGTTTTGTATCCTTGGCTTTACTTTAATTGCATTGACTAGTGCATGGATGGGGAACATGTGGCCTTTCTGAAGCTAAAAGGTAAATGTAAAGGGACCCCTGACCATTAGGTCCAGTCATGGGCGACTCTGGGATTGTGGCGCTCATCTCGCTTTATTGGCCGAGGGAGCCGGCATACAGCTTTCGGGTCATGTGGCTAGCATGACTAAGCCGCTTCAGGCGAACCAGAGCAGCGCATGGAAATGCCGTTTACCTTCCCACTGGAGTGGTACCTATTTATCTACTTGCACTTTGACGTGCTTTCGAACTGCTAGGTTGGCAGGAGCAGGGACCGAGGAACAGGAGCTCACCCCGTCGCGGGGATTCACACCGCCGACCTTCTGACCAGCAAGCCCTAGGCTCTGTGGTTTAACCCACAGCACCACCCACAGCACCCCCTGATGCTATTGAACTGTAACTCTCATCATCCTTGGCCAATAGCCATGGTAGCTGCGGTTGAAGGGATTTGGGTCCAAGTTCTCTATTCCTTTACTAGACAATGCAACTGAAGCTTGCCAGCCAAGAAAATCATACATTATATACATATTTAAGTACATACTTGGTACTTCTGAACTGTATCCAGCTAAGGTCTACTCAGATTAGACCCACTGAAATTAATGGATTTAAATTAGTCACGTTCATTCATTTCAGTGCGTCTCCTCTGAGTATGGCTAGCTCTGGAAACAATCCTCTGGGTTTTGTCACCCTGGGCTTTTTTGGGTGGAAGAGGAGAATACAAATTTAGAAAGACAAGTTCCCAGAGGCACATAACTCCAGGACTAAAACATCAGCATGAGGGCTTGGCCACCGCAAATCAAGTACAAGAGATACTATTTCGTATCATTTACACTTCAAAGCCATCCACTGATTAGACTTACGCAGTGAAGTATATGTGTATTATAATCTGTATCATCCCTTTGTGCAAAATCCATGCAACTTGGAATATAGACCAGTTCCAGCATCCCTAACCGGAGTCCAGGACAATAGTATGATCCATTGATGGCAGCATATCATAAATAATTGGGACAAGAAAGCCATTGGTATCCCCCTAAACCTTCCATGAAGATTATGGCTCCTAAAAATAGTACTGTATGTGGAAAGAGGAAAGTGCTGCTTAGCATCAAGGTCCAGTTTAAGCTCCTCCTTTTGTTTCTTAGGATAGAACTGGGATCACTGTTTACTTAAGAGCAAGTCCTCTATGGGATTTGCTTTTCCAAGCAGTATGTATTTAGGATGGGATTCCTGGTGCCCCAATGGAACTGGTGCAGGAACAGAGGATGGGACATGAAAGAGACCGACTAAGCTGCAGTCTGGACACCCTGACCATTATCTCTCTCTTTTTAAAGCTCTTTCTTTCCTTTAATGACACATTGCCCGTTTCCACCCCAGAGCCACCTTATGATACGGCCCTTGGGGCTTTCAAAGCCCTCTACACTAGTCTGGCGGAACTGGGCCGAGCCCAGGACAATCCATCCCAATCAAAGGCGAAGCTCTCCCTGCTGCCTTCAACAAGCGATGCTTATCTCTTGGGTCAAATCGAGCTGGTACTAGAGATTTGACCTCAGATGCCCTGCGCCACGCCCTCGCCAACAACCACCGTCTGCATTAACGATCTTGTTATTTCCTTCCATCAGAAACCTCGACGGGGAAGGCTGTCTCTGCTAAAGCACGTCCATAGTGTTAGGAAATGGGGGCTGTTTTATCTAGCAGAAGAAGGACTGCGGGAGGAAATCCCCTTGATTTCTTTTGATTAAAAGCTGAGATCTGCACAACTCCATTTGAAGGGCTCTGTGCTCGACATGCAGCCTGCACCTATTAACCGACTGACCCAGGAACCATTGGCTTGAATCCGGTTTGCTTTAATTTATCAGTTGAAATAAACTAATTACTGACATCGGATCAAATCGCCTTCAGAATCAAGAAGTTGTCCAAATATGGACCAATTGAGAACTCGATCAGATAGATACACACCGGTAAATTAATTATGCCCGCCAATGAACCTTAAACCAAATATAAACCAAACTAATTAATTTCACTGGCTTCACTGGAGCTGAATCCAAGCACTCCGGCTGAACTCGTTTTTAGACCAGTTAGTTGGTTAGAGATCTAGACATCGAAAGACTTGGAATGATATACAGCTAATATTTGCGTTGTGCGTGTCCCCCGATCCGCAGCAGCAATTCTGAAAATTATGCACCGTTTTCACTAATGCAGACACCCTTCTCCTTTCCTATATGATTCAGTGCAGACGTCATGTGAATTGCAATGAAAATGTGCGTGTACAAAATCGCAGAAAGAGCGCTGGGAAATTTATGGAGGTTATTCGCATGGCTTCCACCAAACATGGAATGAACGAGATGTCTTTTACTAAAGACTCCAGCTTGGTAAATTACGTCCACCGCGTATTTTACCGCATGGGAAATGGTTATTGGGATTAGATTTTGGGGGGCTAACATTCTAATATAATAAATATGACAGGGACTTAACATACTTTGTTAATAAATATGACAGGGACTTAACATACTTTCGGGACGTTTGTTTTGTTTATAGATTACGGTACGTGCGCGCAACCTCTTGGTTTGGTGTAGGTATCGGTCCTTCAGTCTTTGCATCTATTTCAGACATATATGTAGGCAGGTCGGAAGATACATAAGGCAGAATATAAAGGTTTGCAAGAGATGTAAAGAAGGAAGGACGGAAGGACGGAAAGAGGAAATAACCTGTTCTGTTCTACATGACCCCATAATTTAGAGACACTTTCAAAATGAAGTAAGGAAAACGTCTTAGCAGTGATTTATAACCACAGCCAAAAGAATCTGGTTTTACATACCCCGCCCAGGTCTAAGTAACCCTTCCATTGTTCAGATTTGCTTCATCGCGATTTCAGTGTATATTAATATTTGTTACTACCAAATGCATCTGGGAAGATACTTACGACTTTGCAGTAAAAGCTGGCAGACGGTGCAAACAATTACGTGAAAGGCACACGAGGTCCAGCTTTCCCCCTCTGCCTTATTTAGGCATCCATTCGAAACACTGGAGAATTACAATGTTGATGCTCAATTTTAAGGAGGAACTCGAGTAATTTCTTTTATTTAAAAGACAGGACAGGTTGCTGCTCCCCCCCCCCTTTTTTTTTTAAATGAGGAAGTCGGAACCAGCCAAAGCCAAAAAAATTGTTTGCTTTTAAATTGCAGTCTTATAGATAGATTCCTAGGGGTGAATGCAGTGGTTCTAGGCATCCACAGAATTGCACTACCCATTGCATTTAAAAGTGCCAGAGTTTGGATAGATTGCTTTTATAGTGATTGATAGACTTCCCAACTGTTCAGATGGTTGCTAATCCAAAATACAGTGCCTAGATTTTAGCCAGTCAGGGTAAAATTACTCAGTGAGATTAAACTAACTACAACAATGCACTTGAGCCGTTTGAAATGAGCTTGTGTGTATATTTTTTTACTGCATATAAACAGAAGCGGATGCCCAGATTTCTGCTGTGCTGTCTCCTATAGCCCTGAGGCGTGACAGCCTTCGGAGACAGTGCACTTTCACACTGAATATTGGGGGGGTAACAGGACTCTTCTGAATCTGACTTCGTTGCAACCATCCTGTTGGCAGACTTGGATTGGATTAACTTGAAAAATGGCAAGATACTCTGTATGTAAGAGTGATAACATGAAGCACCTCGTCTTTGCCTACCAAGATTAATCATAGAAGTCTCCTTATGTGTTTAGATTCCATGCCCCTGGTGTGGAATTTCTTACTTTAATTGTGTGCAGAGACACGTACATAGATGGCGCTATATAAATAAATGTTAATAATAAAGTGTTGTTTGCATTTTTTTTCATCATTGCAGCTACCGCTCAGTCTCTTCTCCCCTTCTGCCATTTAATATGGTTTGAATTGCTTCCTGCTTGGGTCATTATTATTTTTGAAAACCATTTGTTTTCGACTGTGAGTTAAAGAACCAAATGTGATGTTGTTAATAACACACAAATTGTTCTGTCCATTTTATAGCCAAATACCGAAAATATATGCGCACATATATGCACATATTGCCTTTTCCAGGTTCACGTTGTCTCAAAAACATTTGCAGAGTTGACTTTCTAGAGAGCTGAAGAATAAATGCTCCGATTATTTCCTTCATTGCAGCGTTTCAACTCTAACACTGTCGTAAAAATAGACTTAATAAAACAGCGATAATTACGTCATTATAGTTAATAGCATCCATTAACAAATTAGGCTTTCTGCTTTGCTAAATCTGATTCTCTTTCAAATCAAGCTCTTTGACGTTTTGTGGGTTGGATCAGAGACAGGAGACAGTAGAGCCTTTTTTACATTTGTATTTGTTGTGTTTGAAATGTGGGGGGAGGGGACTGATATAGGAAAATCCAAAATTAGTTACTGATGATTCAGCATAATGAACATTATTATTTGACAAGTTTGGGTCTCTTGGGAATTCTCAATAACACAATACACACAAATGAAATATATTCAAACTTGCATTTTTGCGAAGGCTCTTTTATTAAGTGTTTTTAACATTGATCTACAGCTTCGGTAACAAAAATATCACTCCAGCGTCCAGCCTTCTTCCTTATGCAGATTCCTAGAACGCTGAAGAAACAAATTATTTATTTAAATCTTTTTATGGCGCCTTTCCAAGAGTCAAGGGAGATCAGAAAAGGATAGAAAGAGAAACGTTTAAAACAGATTCTATATTCTGCACATTACATTTGACTTTCCAGGCAATTTTCTGTATTCAATAGGTGATGTTGAGGATGACGCGCGGCAGTTGGGTTGTCATTCACTTTGAGCGAGGGCGCTGGTCGTCTTTGAAGGATTTGCTCCGGGGTGGACGCAGCAGACGGTTCTGGACCTTTGAAGTGGGGCACTTTACACCTGGGTGTTTCATCTGAATATGTGTGGGTGTTTTCAAAATCGAGAGGAGATTAATAGTACCCGGAGGCACTCACTAAATTTCACTAAGGAACCTCAGAGATCCTGGCAAAAAGGAAGGAAGACACCACAACCAAACATCTCAATGCACACTCTCCCGAACTTATTGGAGGACGGGTTGGGTACAACTACAATGAATGAACTGAATAAATAGATATATATTTCCTATTTAGATACAGTGGTACCTCGGGTTACATACGCTTCAGGTTACATACGCTTCAGGTTACACACTCAGCTAACCCAGAAATAGTGCTTCAGGTTAATAATAATAATAATAATAATAATAATAATAATAATAATAATAATATATTTATTGTCATTACCCCCTCTCGGGGACAACGAAATTACTTAAGAACTTTGCTTCAGGATAAGAACAGAAATCGGGCTCCGGCGGCACGGCAGCAGCAGGAGGCCCCATTACCTAAAGTGGTGCTTCAGGTTAAGAACAGTTTCAGGTTAAGAACAGACCTCTGGAACGAATTAAGTATTTAACCCGAGGTACCACTGTACACAACAAGCACAAAAGGAAGTTCTTAATATCGCTTACTTTCACTTTGGCTGGATCATCAGTGTGATGTGAAGAGCGGCTTCAAATGGCGAAGCTTAGGGACTTACTAGAGAGAGGTGGTAGACAGAAAGTAAAGACATGGATCTAGGCTGCAGCCCTGTACGCGCTTCCTTGAGTGAAGATCCCCACGAGCTCAACGAGGACGAGTTCCGAGTGTAGACATCCTATGGGATTGTACAGCAGGAGAGAGCGAAAGAGAGAGAGGTCACAACCCAATTTCAAAGGGAAGAAGAACCTTTTGAGATCCTGATCCCACGCTTAACAGATCATTCATAAGTTCTCAGTGGGGCTCTTTGGTATCAGCGTTTAGCCTGGACTCAGGTCAAGGTCTGCCGGGGATTTGATCTGCCCCAGTCTTTAACGCGCAGTGACCAGGCACTTTCGTTTCGACAAACATTTCTAGTCGGCCTTCAGGTTTCAAGGTAGGCTCTGTGGTTCAGGAGGCTTATCAGATCACTTAATCTCACTATATAACGTAAATCCACCGGGTCAGGGAGCAGATCTGGTTAGAATCATCCCACTAATGGCCCGGGAGGGGGGGGGGGGCTTGCTGCTGGAGAAGGATTAGGACTGCCAGTTTAAGGGCCTCTTCCGAGACTCTCCTCCCTCTCATTGCTTCCTGTTGCCTGCAATTACACTACCGGTTTGAAGACGATCCGCCAAAGGTATTCTGTCGCAGGCATCGCCCACTGATGGAAAGGCTTTGAAAAACCAAGGAAGCATTTCCCTCCCCACATTTCAAAGCAGCCAACCGCGCAATTTACATTGGCGGGGCTGGACCGAGATTGGTATAGGGCTCGCTCTCTCTTCATCTCAGTCGCCCACCAGTCAGGAGATAATCAGCGCTGGGGGGCAGGGAGGTTCGTCAGAATTTATCCCATGTGGTGTTACTGTTCTTCTTAATGTACCCTTATTGTAATATGGAGCGTCTCTATCCCGGATAAGGCGGGATGCTATCACAGAGGAAGAAAGAGGCGAGCTGCCCTAAGCAATCAGCCTCTTTAGAAAGAGTGTGGGAAACCTTCTACTCTCTCAAAAGCCCCGACTTAGAAGCCACACAGAACCCTCACTCTTCTGTTCCGTGTTAATGAACACGGAATAACTCTTACCCTTAATTTTTGGCTATGACTGGAGGCGGATTTAAACCGTGACTAAGGCGGATTTAAAGTAGGGGTGGAAAAAAATAGATCACTTGATGTTCCGCTTTCACTACCACCCATTCATTGACTAAAGGGTGTTAACAAATCCGGGTCTAATTGAGTATACGCCCTAGGAGGAAAAGGAGGGGAGCCTCCTGTCTGGCCAGTATGAAAACTCCTCCCCTCTCAAGCAAAGCCGGTGCCAACTCGCCACAGACAAAATAACCTGTCAGTTTGCCAACAACCCCCTGCCCCGGGAAATCATTAGGCTCTGAATTAACTCCTTTCTCCCAGCAGTTTAAAGACTCTCTTAAGCTGTTTACGGGAAGGGACTTTCCATGCTCCTTTCGCGCTTCCTTGCTTTGGATGTGACACGGAAGACCCAGTTTAAGGGAGGAGATCTGGAGCTCTCTCTTTCCCTCCCTCCCTCTGTGTGTGTTTTCCCAGTCTTTCCTTGTTTCCCATGGTGGGCGTTAAAAAGTCAACTGCTCATCACTAACTTCCTCCCGCGTGTGACTGGAGGGGCGGAGGCCCCCTGTAGTAGAAGACCCCTCCTCCCCAGATGGTACCCCAGATCAACAGCGGTTTCAGTTCCCTTGATTTCAGGAAAAGCATGCACGTTCTTCCTCTCCATCTCCCTTGACTTCTCCAAGGAGGACTTAAGGCTGCCCAAACTTTCTCAATCGACAACAACAACAACAATGTTGGCAGAGGATGATCAGCTATGGAACATGCCTCTGACGACCCATTTGATCTTATAAAAGTCATTAATTAACAAGGAGTTTAATCCCATTCAACAAAGAGAGACTTACTACCGAGTAAACGTATTTAGCCTCGCATTTATTTGAATGTGGCTTTTGTTTGGCCTTAATACATTTAAGACTGGGGTGTTAAGCCTCTCGCCTTGAGTATGTCGATATCTTGCTGATTATAGTCGCAGCTCCATCCACCACCATACAACAAACGAATCGCATTTAAACCGACCCCCCCCCTTTATGTTGCTATCCTGCTAAATAGGACGCTTTGTGTTTAGGATCGGAATGAGTGTCTGTCAGCTTTCAGCGCAACTGGTACCCCGATCCTAAAGACTTGAGAGCCAGTGAGACACCCCCTACCTTCCCAGGTGAGTGCGTTTAGGATTGCAACAAGGGCGCTGTCCAAACCTTACTGACTCAGAGCCAGACCGAAATTGTTGAGCTTAATGTCTAATAATTTCACGAAGATTTACTGAACGGAGGCATAGAAACAAAGAACGCATCTGGAGTAATTAAAACGTAACATTTCCACAGTAAGTAAAATGTGCTACTTACGGCGGTTCTGTCCAGGGAGTTCCTCAGCATAACATGGTTTTCTAGTCCTCCTCAGAAATAATACCCTGGTCTTTGTACTGGAAACAGATCCTAGATTTTTTTTTGCTTACTTGTTTACACTCACCCCTCCTTCCATCCCCATTTACGATCCTTCAACCCAACCCTTTCTCTTGAAATTATTAAGGGGGAGGGAGTGTGTATTTGCCTTTGTGCTTTTTGTTGTTTTGCGTCTCTACAAAAACCCTCAAAAATGCCCATAAATTCTTTACCAGACTGGAAATATTGATTGAAGGTTCATTACAGCGCAACCAACATTCTTTGAAAATAAGGGTAATAGAGTTGCCAGGGATGGTTTAGCGGTCATTTGATATTACTTAACAAACAGATTTTCTGACTGCAGAAAAAGGAGGGATACATTGAAAAGATTACTTATGTTAAATGACTGCACAAAAATGCAAGAAAAACTGACGTCTACAACACATTCCTGATTATATTTTATAAAAGGAGACAGAATGTGGATCTGAACCTACTGGCAGATCTCTGATTTACAGCAGATCAGCAAAAATTTCCGACACCCAACTGTGTTTTAATGGCAACAACCTATATGACTTGTCTAATCCAAATTAAGGGATGGAAATGAAGACAATTAGCTAAGCAGGGACTTTTGTATAAAAGGGCTCAGAGTCACCTTGTTCAACAATTCTGTGAGGGGGGGGTTGTTTGTTTGTTTGTTTGTTTGCAGATGGCTCTGGTTGGTAGATCTTGGGCAAAACAAACAAACAAAGTAGATCCAAAAAGCCGGAAGCCCGCCTGCCTCAGCGCTACAAATATCTGCTCTGTCGCTTGAAATTTGAATAACCTGCAGCTTGATTATTTCTGTCGGGTTGAACCTTATCAAAGCATCTTCTGATCCTGTGGAGGGCGAGGGAAAAAAAGAATTATATATAGGATAGTGATTGAAATAAATTATCATTAAGGACAATAAGAATGGAAAGTACTTAGGACATCAATCAAACTGCTTGCCTGTCTATCAGTATTGCCACCAATTCTCGAGTACAAACCAGATGGCCCGAATGACTCGAAATCAAATAGTGCTTTATAAACGGGGTAGGTGGCATATGTTAACCAGAACAAGTGGCCTAATATTCACGAATGGGTCCTTATCTTGCAAGCACAACTTTCGAGCCGTCCGATCTGTAAAGAATAAAATAAAGAATTTCCCGGGAATGAGAGAGGAGGGAATTGTGTGTCTTCTTCGCACTTTTCAGCCGTCGTGGATCAAAGGGGCAGTTCTACCCTCTCCCCCCCCCAAAAAAAAGATATTCAAATCAGATCGAAAGGTTACTTAACTCTCCCACTGAGGAACTCAAAAGAAACGCAGCTTTGCAGTTGGATCTCATCCGCCATCTCCCTTTTCACACTTGCCTCTCGCATCCATCCCAAGCCCTTGTTACACCTGGTACATCTCTCATCTCTCCCCTCCCTTCTCCGACCCCCTCCACCCCCACCCCGCCTCCCCTTTAACTCTTCTCTCCGGCTCTTCCTTTCATCTTCCTCGCCGGCAGACGTTTCTATTTATCCCCCGGCAATCAAGTGAGTGGCGTCACCAGAGGTACTGTAATGACGATTGCACCATTAAGGGATGACAGCTTTAGAAAGAAGAGGGCAATGGTGAGATCCCTCCCAGAGCCGCCGCTGCACAGTGGAGCGTTCGCATCACAAGGTCACCCCCCGGCTCACCACCGCTCGCGGCTCCCTCTCTCTCTCTCTCTTTCTGCATTGGCAGGAGAGGGTCTGCTGGGAAGAAGGGGTGGGGTGGCCCGGGGGGGGAGAGGGAGAGAAGGCGCAAGAGGGTGGATGGGGCTTGGGGTGGGGTGGGGTGGGGGAGAGGAGAATCCGGACTTTATTTAAAAGAGCAGCACAATGGAAACTAGGAAGGAGATGGTGATGTTTCTGGAAGGAGGTCAACTTGGCTCCCTGGCAGTAGCCAAGAGGGCACCCAGCTTGGCAGAGGCCGTGGGAAGCCCCGGTCCAGAGCCGCAGGACAAGATGATTCATAGAGGCTGCCACAGCCCTAGGTCTGGACCCTTGCCCTCCCGGGAAAGAGGAGGAGGAAGGGTGGAAGAGGAGGATGAAGAGGAGGAGGAAGAGGAGGAGGAGGTGGAAGTGCTCCCGGCGACAGGGACGGTCCCGGAGAGCCGGTCCGCGGCCGCCGCGCTGCTCTCCGCCGGGCAGCAGCCCCCGCTCAACCGCCTGGCCGCCAAAGGCCAGCAGAGCAGCTCGGACACAGAGTCGGATTTCTACGAGGAGATCGAGGTCAGCTGCACCCCGGACTGCGCCACGGGCAACACGGAATACCACCAGCACGGCAAAGGTACCCCAACCCCTCCCTTTCTCCTCCCGCATCCCAGTCTCTGGTCCTTGGGCTCAGGCCGGCCGGGTTGCCTCCCAGGACCGGCCATCCCATCTGCCCTGGAGCTTAGGAGCAGAAAGTCAGCGCCTGGTACTGGAAAGCAGGCTGCGTCTCCGCTTTCCAACCCGATCCCCAAAGCGCTTAAGGGCTAGTGGGGGGCTGTCGGGGAGGCAGCCTGCCATATACCATCTGATCTGGCTCAGGGGCTTTGATGATGTTTGCTGCCTCGGTTTGGATTCCCCCCCACACCTTCTCCCTTTTCCAGGATCCGTAGAGCCATGGCTTGGGGGTCCCCTGGTATCTCTAATTGCCCGCAGAGAGACATCTGCAATAACCCACACACATCTCCCGCTTTGAAGTCTAACGACGTGTTAATGGGGGACATGAAATCGCATCCTCGCTGCAACAGAGAATTATGACCTTTGCAGATTTCCCTCCTGCAGCCCAGACTTTTATTGTAATGAATTCTCCCAGAAGCTTTTCCTGTTCCAGGGCATAGCAAGACCCCCCTCCCCTCCCCGCCCCCATCCTTGCGCCCACACCTACCCAGGATTATAGTACTCTGGGCTCCCCAGCTTCCCACCCCCAAGGAAGGAGGAAAGAAGGAGAACTTTCCGGGATTTGGTCAAGATCAAAAGAAAAACCCCGCGCCTGCTGGCCAGGCTTGCAAGTTGCTCTTTGGGGCTGCGGGCGCGCGCCTTTCCCCTGGCAGGGATGCAACGTGCCTGCGGGAGCCCCGAAGCAGCCGCAAGAAAAAAAGGGGGGGCTGACGCCCCTGCTGCCCAGCGCCCAGTACTCAGGTCCTTTTCTTTGCACATTGGTTCGATGTCCCAATTGCCTTGTCACTTCCGTGTCTCGGTGGCGCCAGCTCGGAAATGGTCCCAGGGCTTTAATTGCCTTCGGTCTTATTCAGGGCACAATGAGAACTGGCTGCATTTGAAAGCAAGCACACACACACACACACACAGGCCGAGACCACGGACTCTTTCTCGCCACCCCCTCCCACCATCACTCGCACCCCCCACCCCACCCCCTCAGCCCCAGAGCCCTAAATATCTTCTGGGAAAGTGTTGGAATGAGGGAGAGCTCTGGTTTGGCCCTGGAGGTTCCTTTCATCTCCATTGCCAGAAGGAAGAAGGGTGTTTTTGTTGTTGTTGCGGGGAGAAGGTGGGGGCCATTACACAAGAAAGGTGACTCCGCCATCTCACTTGCCAGTTATGGTCATGTATGGCAAAGGACGGTTATCAGAGGCCAACAAATGGAGGGGAGGGTGGCTATCGCCTTGGCAAGCACTTCCCTCTGCGCACAGAGACAACAGGCCTCAGAGATGGACGCTAAGGACCCCCATAGCCTTTGGAGGGTCTCCTTTGTATTGCAGAGAAGGAAACATCACCTGGTGGTGTCAGAGAGGTCTCTTAACGTCTTTATCCTATCTACGTTGTACTGAAAGTCCATTCCCCTGTGATCACTGTCCTGAGGGATTTGTTCCTTTCAGGTCTCTGTGTCTCTCTCTGTGTGGTGTGGATCCTTTCTAGAGGGTCTCTAGAAAGGCTATCCTCGTTGGTTTGTCGCAGGCCAAACAACAACAACAACAAAGAGGCACCTAGACGTCGAACAGATTTACAGTATTATAGCACAAACTTTAGTGTAACTACAGCCTACTTCAGCAGATGATTTGGGGGATTTCACATGCTACTCCAGGAGTAGGATTTTTTTTAAAAAAAGCAGTAGGCTTCGAATGAGGCCTCTTTGATACTTATTTCCCTCCTCCCAGTTATTTCCCACTGCAGGTGCTGGGGAAAATGAGCCAAAGAAAAAAGCTCCCCTTACTTTCTGCTTCTGTCCCATTCCCAGTGACTAGGGATGGTGAAGCGTTTGCATGGAAACCGGTGTGCATTCCTTAGATCTAAATAACATCTGGGATTACCATCAGAAACCTATTCTGGCTTCTGTTCAATGCGATGTCAATCCCGATTAAATAATAATAATAATAATAATAATAATTAATAAAAATAATAATAACCACCAACAAACGTGTCCGGGTATAGTGGCACGGTTTGGCCAGCGCTTTTCGGTGTAAATTATCAGTATGTGCGCGCGGGAATGCGGCCTTGTAATCCAGCTGCTAAACACAAAAGGAAATGCGATTGGCTTTCAGCGAATTTTACCGGAGGAGTAAACCTCGATGCGCAGAGCGATCCTAGGCATGTTTCCTCCAAATAAGACCCTTTTATGGCCAGTAGGGCTTACTCTCGGGTAAGTGGGGAAGAGGATTGCACCCTTAACACAAAAAAGAGAAAGGAACCAGACTGTCATCCAGGAGCTAAATACTTTGGGTAGTCATACCTAAACACCTGCTTTGAAATAATAATAATAATAATAATAATAATAATAATAATAATAATAATAATAATAATAATTTTTACTAATTTCAAGGGGCCTTCCATGGTTCCATGACATTGTTTCCAAGTAAGTCTAATGTACACCTAAAGACAGTCAGTCAACCCGAGCCCAGGTATATTCGCTCAAAAGAAAACCCCACGAGTTCAGTCCCACTTACCCTCAAAGTAAGTGCGCAGCCCCAGGAGATAATACTCCCCATAGAGTCCAACTGACTGAGGAGTTACTCCTGAGTAAAGGTGTCTGGGGCTGGGCTGCCCATCTATTTAAACCCTAATAAGGTAACTAGGCTGTTGATCTAACTAGTCTTTCGGGTCTCTCCAGTTATTCGGTTACTAAATATAGGCTAGTTTGTGTTCGTAGGCATCCAGCCCCCGTTCTCAGGGGCTCCAAACTGGGAGGGAGAAAGTGGACAATCAGAAATTAAGCGGGGGGAGGAAACACAGGTTGGCAGAGCCCCGCTGCCTTTCTTTCTCTCTCGATGTCTTCCTCTCGACTTGCCCTTGCAGGACACTGCTCGGAGACCTCAGCGGGCAGCCCCAGCAGCGGAGGGGACCCCCCTAAAGGCAGCGGGGGCAGCGGCGGAGGGGGCTCTCAAGGATCGCTGGCCTGCAGCGCCAGCGATCAAATGCGCCGGTACCGCACGGCCTTCACCCGGGAGCAGATAGCTCGGCTGGAGAAGGAGTTCTACCGGGAGAACTACGTCTCCAGGCCCAGGAGGTGCGAACTGGCGGCCGCCTTAAACCTCCCAGAAACCACCATCAAGGTAGGATCGCAAGCGGGGATCTCAAGGTTCCAGCACAATGTCACGCATGTACAGTCTGCCCAACGGCCGAGACGTCCTCCCGGCCCCACGCTTGCTTACAGCCAAGCAGCAAAGTTCCCCTGCGGGGACTTCCGGCCAAGGCTCCCCTGCGCTGATTTAAGTCCGATGGCAGTTTAGTGGAGCTGCCATTCAAGAGCTTTTAAGGCAGGGCGATTACCCCCTTTCACCCTTTCCATGCGTACAGAGTGGAGATCCCAATCCGCATTAGTAGCTTGTCAATTTCACTGAAACCTGCTCGCGTTCTTTGCTCAATGGGATTATTTCTGTGTACTTTGGAAGAGGCGTAACTCCGACAGCGCGGTCCGATCTATACACGCCTGCTCAGAAGTAAGTTCTATTGAGTTCAACGGTGTGTAGGACGAAAGCTTTTATAAGTGTGCAAGCATTGCAGTTTACGCACCACTTATTTCGGAGTCCACTGAAATTAATCCAAAAGCAGCTTTTAACCACGGTCGGTCGACTGAAACGTCCCCAACTCGCGAGTAGCCTTGCTTATGACTTCGAGATGTTTCAAAGTTGGTCCCCATGGAGCTGCCAGGCTACTGATCCTTTAGGGTTCCCCTCCTCCCCGAGTAAAATGGTTGCTTCCAACTTTGGCAACTGAAACAAATGGCGCTTACTCCCAAGTAAATGAGTACAGAATGGGATCTGACATGAGTGGGATTAAATAGGATGGAAGCACTGCTGCGCCTTGGATACCTGGCTGCATTCTATGCACACTTATTTGGGACTAAGCTCCTTTGAAGTCGATGGGACTTCCGTCAGTGCAAACAGCCGCAGGATTTGGCTGCGCTCTTCCCCTTCCTTCATCTCATAGCTCCTGGGGAGTCTGTGCGTCTGTTTCA